CACTTTTTATTTGTTTTAGTATTGCTGAATTGTTATATTTTCCCTGCCTACGCTCTCCCCCTCTGTAATGCCTTCGGGCCCTGAGGGTACAATAAATAAATAAATAAATAAACTGTCAGGTTATCGTTTCCTATCGGGATCGGGTGCGTGCCTCTTTTAAAACCTTGTCGAATCTGTTTAAGTGCCCGGGTGTATCAAGACGGCGCTGCCTTCGAGCAAACTATACACCGTCCTGAGAGCATTTAGCGGAAGGGTCTTATGTTTGGAGATCCGTGCACATAACCCAGCACCCTCGCGCGGCTGGGGGCCATCACATCCATTACGCCATTACATCCATCGAGCAATTACGTTCAAATTCGTGCCATTACATCAGACATGTACAAATTACTCAAAAAAGGCAGTTAAGTTAGTGAGTATCGCCGCCAAAAGTAATTGGAGTAGAGTAGAAATTACGCATTTGAGATAGTAGTTGAGTAAACTACTAACTGCTGTAAAGAAGTAGCGAGTTACTTCGAAGTTACTTTCGAAGTTACTTTTTTCTATTTTTGTGGTAGCAAAATGAACAGCAGTTTCGACCCGTGAAAAACCCTGCGAGCCTAAAATAAATGCAGTCGTTTTATGGCTTGCGTTTTCACCAAACTAGTTTATTTACTCGCAGAAGCAATTCACTTTCAACGTTCTTATCGGAGAGTTTTCTCCTCTTTCTCCTAAAGACGTCCCCAGCCAAACTAGAAAGACGTTCCACCGACGCGCTAGATGGAACGACAGCGTTGAATTTGAGAAACAGGATGTGCATGGTCGGGTAAGCGAGTATCGGCATCTTAGGTGTCCATGACGAAACATGTGTGAGGTTTGCCTCGGCTAGAGAGTGGTTTATAACACTCTTCTGCTTTGTTTATTTTTTTTTCGGCAAGCTGAGAATGTTGTGACTGGTCCCATTTTACTCCCACGATGTTCGGAGAGTACGCGGAGCGAGTGCACCTGACCGTCAAGGGTTCAAGTCTCGCTCCAGGACGATGAGATCATCCAGACGACTGCGCGTCTCGTTGCAGTGCTAGTGCTGAGCTACTAAAAAAAAGTTATGGTTTAACAGAAGATGAAACGAAGTATACTTCGCGGCTGACGCCGGGTCCAAAAAAAGGAGCACTCGAGGGTGACTCGCAATCCCCGCCGCCGACTACGGTATCCTGACGCGCCTGACACGCCTGAAAATTAAAACGTTTTTAACAGAGAGGAGGTCTCCCTGGCGTGGAAGGTCGAAAGGACACGAAGAAGTACGTGAACCGGTATCGGCACTCGTACAGTTTCAGCTGGAAGCGGGAACTTGCTCCCATGAACGGATTATCTGTGCGTGCGTTTGTACGCGGGGGAGTCCGGCTTTGGCAAGGGAGTATGCGCTGACGACGAAGCGACCATGGGAACACGTGCCCAGCTGCGAGGTCATTCCACTGACGCCTCCCGTGGAACCTACCGCTTGAGCCGGAACTAACTAAAGGCAGGCAACATGAAAACAACAACAATCCTGGGAGTGTCCCCGCCTTCCACGGTTGCAGCTGGAGGCGCGGCGCCTGCGTGCATTACCGGCTTAGGTCAATACCCGTCCAAGGCTTGTTAAAGGGCAACTCGGCTCAATTCCGAGAAATTTAGGCTTACATGTTATTCAAATTCACAAAGCCCCCCGCTACTAAACAACTCTACGTCTTCGGATTCGCGGAATGTGGAATATTATTTTTGTAATCATAATTTAAACATCATCTGATACCAAAACCAAAACTTCGGTTGCGTCAGGCACCATTGGTCTCGGGTCGTCAGAGTCATGGTCACGTCACGTCGAACCACGTGGTCTTGTGACGTTCGGGAGGGAGCGAGGGACAGGACACGCGACGCGGGCAGGTCGCTTCGCATGACGTGGACGGTGATGGCCCGGGGGAATGGGAGCGGAGAAACAGACCGATAAACGCCAGGACAGCGCAAACTAGCGCATCCGCGTTATTCCGCGTTACGGTGATCACGTGAACGCCCGGTCAGCCAACACCGGGAGGAGAAACTCATGACATCATCGTTCAATTTCGCTCTGAGAAGTAAAAACAAACAAAACGTGAGAATGACGTAGTCATGCCTCTGACGTAGTGGATCAACGTTTGCCGCTCAAACTCCGTCGCATTGACTGCGCTGACGATTGCGCCTCACGCCGCACGCTCGAGTTGGCATGATTTCGGCAACTTTGATCGTTTGAAGGTTTGCTGGCCAGTTTATTAAATATATAAACGGAATTAGATCGTAATATTTGACATGGCGTCTTCCTACACGATACTGAAGAGGGCTACATAGTTTTCTAAATATCAAAAATGAAGCGGAGTTGCCCTTTAAGCGTCTCTTCCTGCGTTCGTGCGCGCCGGTGTTATGTTTTGGCTGCTCGTCGCTACCTCGGCCCAAGGACGCCTAAGATGCAGTTTCTACGGCTGCCGTGTATAATGATGGGGCACTTTGTACGGGAATGCCACTTCATCTGCCGGCGTCTTATTCATTTCTGCGCTCAATCTTTCGTGATGAGCAATGTTAGCCCTAGATTTTGAAAGTAGTTAGTAATTTGAGTAGAAGTTACCTGAAAAACGTAGTTTAAGTAAACTACTAATTACCCAAATAAAATTGTAATTGGAAGTTACCAAGTTACTCGGAAAAGTAGTTAAGCTACAGTAGTTTGAGTAGAGTAGTTGAACTATACGTCCAAGTCTGCATTACATTTATCGTGCCCGTATATCCATATTGCCAGCACATCCATCGTGCCATTGCATCCATTTTTGCCCAGTTCATCCAGCGTGCCATTACGTCCGTTATGCCGTTACATCCATTGTGACATTACATCCACCGCGCCATCACATCCATTGAGCAACTTCGTCCAAAAGCGTGTCATTACATCCATCGTGCCGTTACATCCATCGTGTCACCACATCCATCGTGTCACCACATCCATAGCGCCATCACATCCGTCGAGCAGCTTTGTCCCAAAAACGTGAGATCATATTCATCAATCATTCAGGTTTTTTTCTTCCATTAACTATGCTGTATAACAGTTCACGTTATTTTAAGGAGTTAAGCGCTAAATTGAATATACAAAAGCGAGTAAAAGGACCCTTTGTGCGTTATGCACTTTCTGCGGCCCTCGGCGTCTCCGAAGTGGGACACGCTACGTCGGCTCTTTGTTTGTTGTTTCCACAGTGATCAAACTTTAGTTACGGTTTTTCATCCTCGAAATTAACTGAATATAAACTTTATTTTAAAATTAGGACGGTAAACAAAATCACACCTTTTATTTCGCTTTGAGAAAATAGTCTGAATGTCCTTTAGAATCTAATTATGATATACTAACGTTCTGGGGCTTACCGTTTGTTCCCTGTGGCTCCCTAACCATTGCGGAGAGCAATTCGTCTGCTTCTTGCGCAGGGGTGGCGGCGACGTCAGAAGCACGCCGAGCTTTGATTGGTTTCAAGTGAAGGACAGTGGGCAGACTTCAAAGCAAGCTGCCTTGAGGTCTACCCACTGTGGTTCATTCAGAATTTGTCGGAGCTCGGCGTTCTGACGTCACCGGAACCCTAGCAAAAGAGGCAGATGAACTTGTTCTTCGCATAAGAATGTAAATAACGCAAAAATCCGATTGGCAGCCATCTTGGCTTCTGTCGATGCGCTAGCACGATGGATGTAATGGCGCGCTAGGCATCGAAACAGGAAGGATGAGCAATTACATCCATTGAGCAACTACGTCCATCGAGCGACTACATACAAAGAGCAACTACATTCATCGAGCAGCTACATCCATACACATCTCAACACATCCAACGAACTGGTATATCCACCGTGTACTAGCTCGATGGATGTGTTATCACGTAATCCTCTCGAGCTTGGTTCCACGCCTCATGAACCCCCTGAGTCAATCGCACCAAGGCCATCTTTTCTTCCCCATCAGATACGTGCAGAGATAAGTAAAGGCTCTCACACCGAACGCGATCTTTGTCGTCTAGGTCAAAAAGCCTGTCCGCTCCGCACAAGCGCGCTCAAGCCCCGTCCTGATTCCCTTTGCCGCCAATCCGCTTCGCTGCGCTCTTGTGAGGCGCGGAAATGCTCTTTATCGTTGACGGCTAAAATCGCCTTCAGTGAGGCGATCGAACAAAGTTGTAGCCAACAAGCGGTCAATGTTTCTTAAGTCCTTTCGTAACTTGAAAGATATCATTGTATTCATTTCCTGTTTGGTCGAACGTGCTTAGTTGGGGCTTTTCCAGCAAATAACGATGCGCGCTAACAACGATTAGGCCATAAAAAACGTGATTTTCACAGGTACAATCAACATTTGATACACCAGGATCATTCTGTTCAAGCAGATTGTGTGTTGGAATGCAATTGCTTTTCGCGATCCCGTCATTCGTGTTGACCTGCCTCTAAATGCTACAAGCGTTGACCTGCCTCTCAATGCTATCATTCGCGTTGATCTGCGAGGCTCGCGCGCAGCAATTTTTGGAATGCATTAAGCACACCTGGAATTGTTTACTTTTTAATCGTGCGTTCTAAAGGCCCGTTCACACTCTTGCGACCTCTTAAACCTGGGTTCCTTAAAACTTCTTAAACCAGAAAACACACTGGCGCCATCTATTGGGAAGCAGTGTAAACTCGGCGGTCCGCCATTTTTTTTTTATTTCTCGCGCATTATCCTTTCTTTCTTGGCTCGAAAAACTTTTTTCAATGTTATAAACGAGCCTTTCTATGGGTATTATGCACATTTGACCTATGAAATCCCGCAAAACCTTCGCTCTTGTGAAATGCAGTTCCAGGGTCACCGCATAGATGGCGCCACAATGCCCAGTGTGTTCCCTCATTCTAAAAACATTTAACAAGTTTTAAGAGATCTCGTCTCTCTCAGTCGTACTCGGTCGCAAGAGTGTGAACGGGCCTTAAGACAGTGTCACGACGAGCTATCAGCATTCTCGTAAAGGGTGTTTGATGCTTACCAACTTTATGTCGTGCAGCCAACACGTTTTTTGTTCTACCTTTACTTCCATCCAACATTACGACTTTGTAGAACGATTGCATCGCGTACCTGAAAACAAGTTTGTTAGTTGTGCGCTAATAAGCTTCATGTTTGTTTTTAACTGAGAGCTTGGTATAGTAGGAATGAAATCTATATTTGCTTACGATACACATGTTGTTTCATTGTACCACTTTGTGTAGTTAGCAAATCTTGTCTCCGCTGTATCGTCATAGGGAACTTTCTGTACCATGACACACTTATTTGTTCCTTTGTTTTGACGGTCACTGTGAAAATTTCTGTACAGCACGTACATGAAGTTTCCGGGTGCAGCGATAAACTATGCAGACAGAGAAAAAACTTTAGATGTGCATATATGTCTCCTAGTGATTATTGCTTATGAAGTGTCAGTGTCTAGGAACAACGTTGCATGTGATTCCCTCTACGACGTTTTGCGTGAGTCGCGAGTCCGCCCTGATAAGAATGTATCTGCAAAGATTTCCAAACGTACCCAACACTAACGTAAAAAAAAGAAAAACATTATTTTTTTTGGTAACGAGTGGTTAGCCACGGTTGTTTCATGCGATAACGCGAACGAATGAAATGGATGACAAGAATATCATCCGTGTTTCGCATCGCCGGCCTTGTGCCTGCTGCACGAGCGGTAACTTTTAGCTCGCCCTCGAGCTTCCTCAGTGCTTCAAGACGTCATAAAATTGAGCTATCCAGGTTTTTTTATTACGCTGAGAATGTTTTTAATTGGAATCATATGTGTATTTTCCTTAATTAAAAAAAGTTAATCAGTGTGTCTTATGTTCATATTTTGCTTAATAATATGTTTTATTGGAATCTCTGCGATCTGCATTTGGTGGTAGTTTGTTCCCGAGAATACTTTTTTATTTTCTCAAGCACCCTATAGGGAGTATTCACTGGCGGCCATAGCTGTGTGCGCGACTGCTGAGCGCGTGCTGACGGCCAGTTTCCACAGTTCTTTTGCAACGTGCATTCAGCACCATCAAGATTGCTGGTCTTAGCAGCCTATTAATGTGAGCTCATTGTGAGCATGCGCCCTAAACATCGCCCTCAAATATGGGGCCCAGTGAATACTTTCTACACTTTCTATAGGCGCAACCGATTGGTTTCAAGCACGAGCACCGGGCTTTTAGCGTCCCTGCCTAACACGAGCGCTCGTATAATAAAAGCACTGTTTAGGGCGAGATGATCGCACTTGTAGCATCGGTTGCCCCTCGACTTAAGCTGAAACAAAGTATACGGTTCGAGGACATTTTTAAAGTCTTCGCAGAACCAACCGGTTTCAAAAATTACTCACGGTACTAACTAGAAATTTCGCATACCTCCAACGGTCAGAATTCGAAAGATTTAAAAAACGTCGAGCTTTCTTACGGTTCAAATCCAAAATTTTGCAATTTACGAAGCCTACTTATGTTCTAAATCGAAAAGGTCGAAAATTTAGAGGTTCCTGAGAATTCGAGTTCGAAAATTTCAGATTTCAGGACGGACGAAGTTCGAAAAGCTTCAAAATTGGTGAATTTATTCATGCAACAGATTCGAAGCTTCCCAATCAATGAAATATTTTTTTTTGCGTAATTCAACTTTAAAGATTTAAAAGTCCTCAAAATATTTAATGTAGTAAGTTCGATAGTACCAAACATTTCTAAACTTTCAATCCCCTTGGTTAGATTTCTGAACTTCAGGTAAAAAAATAAATAAAATACGTTTACAAATCTCTGCAATGGGAAACGAGAACGCAGCTCTTGAGGGGGAGGAGGGGAGGGTTACGGAGGGGAAGGTGCGTCCCTCCTCCTCCTCCTTTTTCCTCCTCCTCCTTTCCTCCTGCCGCTGAATTTGTTCATAGGTGACGTGACACGAATTCCTGACGTCATTTTCTTTCCTAAATTTAGCAGGGAAAGTGAATTGGTGTTGAGGTCACGTGACGTGAATTTCCCCGCAGAATTTACCAGGGAAAATTTCCAACTAATCTTAGCGGGAAAAGCTTTCCACTAAATTTAGCGGGAAACGTTCTGGCTGTATTTAGCGGAAGAATTTCCCCCGCTAAACTTGGCGGGAAAATATTTCCGCTAACTTTAGCGGGGAAACGTCCCATAATGCAACGCGCGTGGTCACGCCGACGACGAGGCCGACTGCGACGCCTTGTCAAGCCGGTTATCCGTCATCCGGTCTAAGCCGTCATCCGGTTAAAATATGACGCACTGGGGCCCTAAGCTCGTCAAACACAAAGTTGGAGAGCAAAGTTCGCGGAGCGCGTCGATTGGACGCTGGCGAAAAAAGCGCGAATTCATCGTCGTGATCGTCCAATCGGCTCGCTCCGTGAACGTCGGCCCCAACTTTGTGTTTGACGAGTTCAGAGCCCCTAGATATTTAGTTACTCTCTCCGCGCCCGCTGGCTTGCCCGAACCTCAGGAGATGTGGAAACCGCAAGAAAAGGTAGACGCTTAAATATTTTTGCAGGGCCTTTTAAAGCGCTCGCCAAAACTCGTAATTAAAAGCGAAAAATATATCAATGTGGCTCACAATACGAGCGTGCAATTATTACTGACACGTATTATTGATCCCATTCGGCGTATGTCCGAACTTTCTGCGTATATTTGTAGTTTCGATCCAGCACCCCTTTAAACCACCCGAGACTGGGCCACACCGCGGACTGGGCGGAGAACGTGAAGAATCCTAAGTGGAAGGGAAAGGAACAGAATGGCAGATATGGCAGCGCTCATTAATTTTGACTCTTTTTCTGTTTTACTTCAGAGTATCCTTCTTCTCCTCGCAGTCTCGTTCGGTGTAAGACGATGGGAAAAAACAAACAAATAACTAAGGTAGATTAAAACAAAAAAGGGGACGCAAGCACACTCGCGTCAAGTATAACCTGTAGAGTCAACGCAGGAGTAGGGGCTCGGACAACACCATACGATGACCCTCCAGGTGGGTCGCAGAAGCGCCCAGTGTATACCTTTTCCGAGAACAATTCTGCGGATGGGTGGGATTACCTGAAGCTTCGGCGAAAGCTCAAAATATGGCCGGTGAACGAGCAGTGTTGGATGTGTTCGCTCAGCATTCTGGGGGGCTAAGGTTTACCCATGAACTACAGGATGGGACACACCTCCAATTTTTAGACCTTAGACTAGATTTTGAAGAAAGTCACGTGTGTTGGCTTTACCAACCACGCTCTAAGAAGGGACTTCTCCCTTATGATTCCGCCCAGTCTAAACTAGTAAAAAGGAGCATTGCGTCCTCTTGCCTCCAGACTGCCTGGGAAAAGTCGTGCTACCATTCAATGTCAGAAAGTTTTAAGATGCAGGTACAGCGGCTGACGGATGTCGGCTTCCCAGAGTCAGTTATACTGGCAGTGGCGCAGACGTTACTAAAAAATATTAAGGGAGGGTCAAGTCAGAAAAAAGAGAGACCCGCAACCAGACCCCAGGTACTCCGCTACATGCACAAACTCTCGCACAATTTGAAAAAGGTAGCCGAGCGCTTTGACGTTCCTAGCTGTTGTTTTTTCGGCGCCACGAAAGTTGGCGCAACTCTGCCCTAGAATTGCGGATAAGGCTAGGGGCAGGAGCCAATGTGCCGTAAGGCACAGGAACAAGTATGTTGATTGTGTGGTGGGGGTGGTTTACAAGATACCACTAAGCTGCGGAAGAGTGTACATCGGCCAAACTGGCCGATGCATTAATGACAGGGCACGTGAGCATGACTGGACACTCCGGTCGACCGCTGGGGGTCACTTGCCTCTGCAATGTGCTGCCTGTAAATGCCAGCCCCAATTCAATAACATCACCATCATCGGGAGGGGCGCAGATAAAACTACCAGGGAATTATTGGAAGCGTATGCAATAACGAAAGAGGGGCAACGTGCATGCGTTAGCCAAACATCGGTTTTTCTTCACAAAAAAGAAATTTCCTATCTTGACACGTGCTGAAGCGATAGTGCGGTTTATTTCGTTGGTGTTTTTTCAATAAATGTTTAGTTGTGAGTTCAGCGCTTGTGTCGTTCACACCTTCCTTTCGTCCTGTGTATTTTTTGCGCGCTGTTTATTTCCGTTACCATGAACCAACTCGCCTACATCACGACACTAATCCACTCTACCTCGCCTGTATTCTCAGCGTCTCACGTATTACCCCCCCCCCCTTTTTTTTTTCCTTCCTCGATTATGTGTTATGCGGTTATGCTCTACGCAGTCTTCTCGTCAAGGAACCCTCGTCTCGCCGTACTCTGTGCGTGATTGTTCAAGCCAGTGATAAAGCAAACTCACACCAAAAAAAAAAAAAAAAGGAAAAAAAAGTGCCATGATTTTGCAATTTTGGTTCCGCTTGATTGGCTCTATCGGGTTCTAATGCTGCCTACGATCGGACTTCAAGTGAAATGGGATGTGCAAAAAAATGTTTAGAAACACCGTTATAATCTGTTAAAGATCCGGTATCAGGGCCGAAAGACTTGTCGACACCCCGTTCTCGCTTGCGACGCTTCGATCTCTAAATTGCCATTCTGCCCAAAAAGATATTGTGAAAAGGCTGAAAAACAAGATCCAATTAAAAAAAAAATAAGGTGCATTTTCTTGCAATTAATTTAGTTTTTTTTTTATCTACATACACAAATTAGGAAGAAAAACAGCGCAATTTGTTTCTCCCAAACATTTCGCATATTTAAAAAGTGAGATGTAATTTATTAACATATGTAATTCAGCGAGATAGAAAACATATCCTTATACTGAATATTGGCAGATCAATAGCGCTCTATAAGATTCTAGAAATCATGCAATCAGTTGAACTCAACTCATGAGATCGCTGATAATTGTAAAGTAATACGATATTTTCGCCATACAACTTACACTCCAGGCGTCCTGCTCTGACGATGGGATGTCTTTGAAACCATCAGGTACTGACTCGTTTTGGCATACGCTTGTCTCGTCGGAGCTTGGGTCGGTTGATGCAGCGTTTACGATTAGCACTAAGCCTGTAAGCAAAGATCCTACGTTTTGCAGCATATTCCGACCAAGGGTCCGATGTTGTCTTGAAATCCGCCCTTTGCGTTGAAGCAATCTAGCTGTTAATCTGTCCACAAGAAGTCAAACGAGAGGTCGCAAAGTCACTTTGAAGAGTGGATAAATTGCAGTAATGGCACTTAACACCTGTTTATATACCTAAATTCAAAAACCTTCAACAAAAAAAAAAAAAGTTATATTTGTCGTGGTTGGAAATTTCGACTAAATGTGGAGTACAGCTGGTTTGAGGAAAACAAGTTAAACTATCCACCGCTGTGGAGTTCGCAACCTTTCCGAAAGATCACTGACGTTCTGATCCGTTCCAAGTTCATTATTGTTCTCTTTACGAAGCAAAGCACGAGAGAAGATTGGCTGCATGCGCAGGGAACGTTGAACCGAACTCAATCTGGCCTATACATTCTTGAAAACCTGGCGAGAAAAACACGGCTCTGCTTCACACTGCGTACGAGTGAGCCCGTGACAAACCGTATGAGTGCGCATGGCATCGTAATAAAATCATTCTAATCTAAAAACAACAACAACAACGATGAAGACCACGGGCTGTGAAGGACGGGGATGACCTACTTAAGTTCGAGTGATTAAAAGGATTCTTCGTACGTCGTTGTAGGCAATTTTTGTTTTATTTTTGTAATGGCAGACCGTGCGTCTTTTCTGCCTCGTTACTTGCGAAGTTTCCTTGAAGTTGATCCTCGTTCCTCTGTAAAGTGTTTCCACGTAAATGTACAGTCTGCCCCAAATAAGGTCTCTGATCTTAAAAGATTTTTTTATCAATGTAATTTGTTTTTACTTCATCGTGCTCACAAAATCACGGTGCACCGACGATAGTAAAGGTTTTTGCCTACCTTCGCACGCTACTTATTTTCTTAACCGTACAGCTAAGCGAGAAGGCGACCTTGCAATTTTAGCAGGTAGAAATACTGTTTGTGAATTACTGAGTGACTTATCAACTATCACTGATGACTATAACATGTCGTCATATTTCATATTCACTAATTAAAGCTAACAAATTTGTAAACTTTCGTTATTAACAAATTTAACTTAATTATCCGACTGATAGTTTCCGGTAGCCCCCTACACTATATTTTTCTGTCCGTATAACTCACCTTCACGAACCTCATAAGTGTGACTCCCACGGCTTTCATTAAACAAATTTGTGTAAGTTAAAAAGAAGAAACATCCTATAAGTGGACTTTAGAAAATTATTTGATTACCTCAATCATAATCTACTTTTCCAGAGGCTAAATATGTATGATAATGGAGGACAGGCTCTATACACCTACTCATGTTTACAAACAAACCGGAGCGCCCCTCGCGGACGCCACCGGCGCCGCGCATGCGCGATGGAGTGTGGGCAAGAAGCTCGCCGTCGCCCAGAAATAAAGCATTTAAATGCGATGTTGTCGGCGTCAGTGTGAGTCTCCCTACCCTGTTTCGCGTTCGAATTGTTGATTCTATGTCTTCCTCGACAAAGCCTGACTACTTGAGCTGCCTCAGCGAAATTACCGAGACTCGTTACACCGCAAAACTTCGCGTGAATAATGTGACATGCGGCGATTTATTCCGCGTGGACACCGCAGAATGAACGCTAAGCCTGATTCGCATGATGAGATTTCGCTCGCAATTTTCAGTCGCGACGTCGCTCGAACTGCAAAAGCGTGATTCGTAGGTGAGATGGTCGACGTCGATACTGAAAATCGCAAGCAGAATCGGACCAAGTGAATCCGGCATGACTAGTCGGTGATGGCCACTGGTAACAATGATCAACGTCTCCTTGTTTCTACTGTTTACATCGAGCCTGCTTACCAACCTTCAATCTTAAGCCTTTTAAGGCCTACACTTACTTCTTATCGGAAGTACCGGGCCAACATTTGGTCCACGGGCTGGTGTGGGCTAAAAGAGTATAGACGACAATCAGAAACGTTTCAAAGACCAGACTACAGTTCGAACGATCAGGCGACCGTTTGAACTTGAAGACTCACTGAACGTAGTCTGCAGGTGGTCCGTACTTCTTGATGGTACTCCGGTGTTCATGTTGCATGAACACAAATAAATTTGACAGCCACAAGTAACCGTGAATTCAACCCAAAGTGCTCCCCGCCCAAGCAATCATGGTCCGACGGCGTTTGGTTTTTCCTTTTCACGGCACATATTCACGTTTTCGGACGAAACGAGCACATGAAACTTGGCTTCGAACCTTTCTCGACTCTTTTTGTACAGTCACAGTTGCAGTTTTTGACGAGAAGGCAGGTTTTTGCCTGGTTCTTTTAAAAACAACGCAGGAATGCACGTCTCACATGTGGACTTCTGCCCACAGCCCAGACCGGAAGTGCGCCCGACGCGCCAGCACCGCGCCGTGACGTAACAGAGATGAGTTCGTGTATTGGGCAGGAGATCGAACTATAGGGGGCGCTCTGACCCGTTTGTTTCCCCACATCTCGGTTGTTTACTCAACACAAGGCCTGTGCACATGCCCAGAGTCCTTATGGGCATGTCCATGTCATCTTCTACAATAGAGCGCGGGGCACGGTGTAATGTAAAAAATTATAACAATTGACGAAGTGACGTTAAGTGCCTGATCTATCTCAAAAGCAGGCTCAGTGAATGCAAGCTTGACCCACTTAGGCTCAGTCTTGGGTAAGTTACTTTTAAAAAGTAATTCGTTACAGTTACAGTTACTTCAGAAAAAAAGTAGTGAAGTTACCGTTACAGTTACCGCAACAAAAAAGTAACTCGTTACAGTTACAGTTACTTTTAAAAAGTAACGACGTTACTTTTCAGTTACTTTTTCTATAACAAAAAAAAATTAGGAAAAACTAGAAAACGCTTTTCACCAAGTTTATTTGCATAAAATTAAAAAGTGTGTTTTTTACTTCGTATTGTAAGTTAGCAGCAGTTGCTTCCCGAAATTAGTTTCTGAAAGTTTCCCTTGTTTGATAACGAACACGTCCCTGCCCTTGTTGAACAGGCGCTCATCTAACGCGCTGGTTGGCATTGCTGTGTTGTTTCGCCGGAAAAGGTTTTTGATTGCCGGGTAGGCGGTGAGGCAATAGAGTGCCGTTTTCTGCAGTCAAGGTGTTAGTAGCCTCCTCCACGTCAGCAAAATACTCTCTGTACGCCGGCCATGGTAGTTTTTCTTTGTTCTTATCAACATTTATATCCTTGGTACCACTAGCAAATTGCTGGCTCGTTGACGGTTGCGCTGGGTTCATAAAGTCCCTGGACATATTTCAGTTTGTACCCGGCAAGCCAGAAATAAACCCCGCGCATACAGCAGTAAATTTTGCCTCGACTGTAGACACTACACCTAACTAATGGCGCAAATCAAAATACGAAACATGCACAGTGCGGAGTGGCGGCGCTAATCAAAATACGAAACATTCGCAGTCCCCTCCGCGTGTATTGTTGTTTCACGTTTGATTCACCCGATTAAAAAGCGTTTGCGCAGAAAAAAAGAAAAACCGCGAAAGAGATAGTTCTTCAAGACACTAAGATGCAAGTGTTCAGTCTCAAAGTACAAGCGCCTGCTAAAGATAACTACTTTTTTTTTACACCAAACCTACACGTGGCTATATTCGGGACGTGACTGGCGAGAAAGAACGTATTCACAAGTCTGTGCAAAAAATAACTTGACACTCGAAATGTCGGAAGAGACAATTTGTAAAGCGCAAAAAATGGCTAAATTGTACCCTTGTTCAGTGATATGTTATTCATAAAAAACTGTAAAGTAACGACAAAAGTAACGTCGTTACTTTCATCGTTACCTCAGAAAAAAGTAATAGAACTACAGTTACAAGTTACATTTTTAAAAAGTAACTCGTTACAGTTACAAGTTACCAAAAAAGTAACGAAATTACAGTAACGCGTTACTAGTAACGCGTTACTACTCAAGACTGCTTAGGCTTTTGTGCTGAGCTGAATACCGTGCATGCTGCATTGCACACGCAGGCCGGTGTGCACTCTAAGAAAAAAGGGAGGAGAAAGGTAGCAAAAGCAACTGTTCCTCCTTGTTGCGGACAAGTTGCCCAGAGAAGGGAGGAACGGCAGTTCAGATGAAAGTTGGCGCAGAGGTAGAACATCGCGCTACTGACCAAGTGGTCAACGGTTCGATCCTGAAAAAAGTGTTTTTTTTTTTTTTTGTTTTTGTTTTTTTTTTTTGTTTACCAAAACACACATAAACAAACCCAGACCGATAAAAGGAAAATTAAAGTCCTTATTATTCTCCGAGACGTTTTCCTCCTCCAGGCAGACCGGAGAAAGCTTTCGCCCTCCCGACCCATCTTCTTTCGGTTTCGTTTCTCGAGCACATCGCGCACGTTGTTTATTTAATAAATTAATGTTGAGTTGATTGAGCTTCAGCGGCAGCGAAGGCCGCCTGTAATTCCGTCTTCTAGTCCAAACGTGCAGAACATTTCGGTTGCATTGACGTCTTTACCACTAATTTTATCAAACGAGCAAACGAAGCCGCTAGAAACAGCGAAGTTCCGGAGCAGTGCCAGCAGCGCTACATACACTGGGTAAGACGGCCGTCGCGGCCGTCTCCAATTTGCGGGACACACGCGGAACTACAGCAGCGAAACCACGAGGAACTGTGTCGACGTTTTTGACGTTATGGAAATCGCGGGAACTGCGTCCAAGGAAGGCAGGTTTTCCTGCCGGCTGCCTGGGTGCCATCCGTGCTGAGTTCGGTTCCGTTGTCCCGTGCCGAGTGCCAACCGGCGTTCAACGTGATTCTTCTGCGTGTCAGCAACATCGTCAACGTGGTTCTGTATTTCTTCGTGTCAGCGACATCGTGATGGCAGTGTTGTGGGTTGTGAACAGAAGGCTGGAATTATCGCCGATGTGACCGTGTGTTCGCGTATCAGTGGTGTATCAACAAGATGAGATGACGTAAACTGTCGGGCATTGATGCCGCTAGTCGGGCCGTTATCGGAGGGGCCGGGATGTCGCAGGATGACATTCCGCTTTACATTAAAGAGTTTAAA